CAATCTTTGCACAAGGATTAAGACAAATAATCGCTACATCGATCGACTTTTCGCTCAATCGAACGTCGATTATTCGACTTGAACTGGTCGAATATTTAGCAAAGTGGGGGAGAAGTTGCGGTTCAGACGCACGTTGATGCACGCAAACATTGACAAGGTTGGAAAGTTGGTCGCATACCATCGCCGCGCAGCTTTTCGAGGTTTGATTTCATCCGAAGATAAGAGGAAATTGGAAATTCCGTTCTGTCGCGTTTCGGTTTCACCGGCGTATCTGCCGGATGAAAGGCATACCAGCCAAACGTCGAGTTTCATTTCACATTGACGAATAAGCGGCGACGCGTTCCTTTATTATTATCGTGGGTCCGATGAAGCAAGTAAATTAACGCAATAACATTTTCACCCTTGATCAAGAGGCGGAAAATATATTTTGGGGAATATTAAACGGTCGAAATTATATCGATTAAGTGATTAATAAATTCGTTTATGGACAAATTCAAATGTCTTATAACTTTCGAAAGCGTGATTAAGACGATATTTCTTTCAATGAAATTTCACGCGTGTGGAATTGATGAAAAAAATTCAAGGCCCATCATCTTTCTCACCATGAATAAAGAATCCATTAGAAATTGTCGCACACGTATCGCAAAACAAAAAGAGAGAGAAAAAAAACATTTGATCGGAAATAAAACTCGATATTTTCCGATTTTTCAAAAAAAAAAAATAAAGCGACCATTCACGCCCACTTTTATACTTTTTAAAACTTGCAACCATTCACTTTTGTACACCGATACCACTCGAACATGTTCCACCGTTAATTCTACCCTGTTCAGCTTGCTAGATGAGAATCATAAGCTAAGGCAACCCCAGTGGCAACTTTGAAAGTTCACGATTCATTAAACGTCCCGTAACTTATTACACGTTAATACTTGCCAAACTACGACTTTCGTCTCAAAGCGTTTAATAATCCTAAAATGAAGCGGCTGAGCCTCGATCGTAAAATTAGCCGCTTATCACTTAACCCTCCATCCTCGACCTTGACACTTTCCACCCGATCATGATGAAATTACCGGCACAGAAACTTCTAAGCCTAGCACGAGATAAAGTCTTCTCCTACGTTCGCCTTTTTCGAGTCAAAGAGAATTGGATTGGAGAGTTCAAATCGATTCAATCATACGAGGAATTTATATTTATCACACAGTATGGTCGTGTTTTGGATACAGAACACGAAACTTATTTTTTATCTTCTGCCAAAAATTAATCATGGTTCGCGAGAATTCTCGATCCAAAGGGAATTCGAATTCAATAGGGAAGGGGAGCGAAGGAAAGCGGAGGAAACAACTCGAATAGGGATGAATTATTCACGCCACCTATTGGGTTCATCGCACCCAATAGACAGGTTTCTAAGTTATTTTAAGGGCGATGCGATTCTGCACGAAGAGAAATCGTGGAATTTCTCGTCCCGCTGGTATTTCAGTTACAGTTACTCGAACTGAGACGATCGAATGAGAAGCGAGCGCGTTCGAAATTTTACTTCATCCCAATTCCAAACGATCGTTCTCTATTGTCAAACTTTTTTTTACAATAAGCTGCACCATCCTGTTTTTTCCAGGATGCGAATATTTTTTATGCGTTTGAAAAAGATCATTTGAACAGGGGACAAGATTATTGTGCACTCCTCTTTTCGAAACTTTGCCTTAAATCTAACGAGAAATATTCGTTGCAATGATCAATTGTTCCATTACAAATGGAAATCAATCAAAATCGCTAAGCGTAACTTATAGCAAAGAATATCGAAATTATTTTATTAATTTCCAGAAATATAAGCATTGAAAGAAGCAATCGACAATAATAAAGATTCATAAATTTCGCAATTAATCCTTGTATCATAGCAATCAACCTCGACGAAGCCAATCATGCATACGATTTAATTGAAATTTCATTATAACTAATTATTTATCAGAGGATGTTTGAAAGAGAAATCTCGCGTTCAATCACGCGTTCGAAACGAGATTTCTCACCCTCTCGATTAATCAATTCGTTTAGCGGAAAATTTTGTTAAAAAATTTCTGACGTCTCCCTCGGAGAAATTGATTATATCGCGATACAAACGAATCTCGTTTATTTATCGTCCATCAGTTTGAAACATTCATCAACGCGCATCCACCGGAAGAAAATCCTCCTCTAAACCGTAAATCATCGCCTCGTGTCTTCGAATGATGAAGATACACGTACGCGATCGGCCATGTCGAGGAGTGAGATCTCTCTTTTTCTGCAAAGTGAATAGTTCGATGTTTGTCGACGAAATCCACCTTTCCACGAAGAAAACAAGTCGCCTCGATTTCGGTCGTTGCCTCTGTTCCAGAACGGGGAGAAATTTCGTTCCTCGTCATCGACGACTCTTCTCTGACATTTCACGTTTTTCTCCCTTCCCCTCCTGGCGTAGCTACAGGGTTTAAAATCTCAAAGGTCGATCTTATTGGGGGGAAAAAATAAAATGGAGAAAAAGAGGAGGTAAGAAGGTAAAAGGGATATTAACGAGACGCAAAAGGAAGAGAGAAAGATGGAAACACGCGAAATGGAGCAAAGATAATAAGATTTTTGAACTGCACGTAACGTGAAATCATTAACAATGGATACAAACTTTTGAAGAAAAGAGAAAAAATTGTTTGCAAGAATATATATTTCGAAGAATGCGCTCGTTTGATGAAACTTTTTCTCATTTGCTTAAAGATTTTAAACATCATCGGATTAAAAAAAAGAATATTCTCTTCTAACAAGAAAACGACAAAAAAAAATCTAAAAGAGACAACGTAACAAAGAGACGAAACAAAAAGAAAAAAAATAGAAAAATAGAATAAATGAAAAAATTACTCGTTCTCTCTCTCTCTCTCTCTTTGTATCAATTTTTAAAATAAACACGGGAGCGAAGAAGGGAGCGGCGTGTAAAACTCTGCGTGTAAAAAAGTAGCAGGAAACGAGATGATCCGAGGTGATCCGTCCAACGGCAAACGTAAAATTGGAAAACTTTGGACGAGCTGGCAGAATTGAATGACCGTGCGGCGTCGTTCGACTCGTCGTGCTTGCACCAACCTATCCTATCCTACCGTTGCACCCTACCTAATACCCTCCTGCCTGGAAAGTAGCTTGAATCTCATCAAAGTTGCGCGTGCAAACATTGACCCCTTCGTATCTCAGGTGCATCGATATCGCGGTAACTACCCCCGTGTCTGACATACCCAGGAGATGTGAGTATCCAGACACTTGAACAGCTTTAAGCTCGAATCTTTTCCCGTTGAGGAAGAATTTATCGAAATAGAAACTTTAAAAATAAAATTAATCTCGAGCTCGAGTTTATGAATGAGTCGCGGTGAATGAAACGTTTCACGTTCCACCCACGAACGGATTGAAGTTTGATTAGTTTGTCGTAGTAAGCGTATAAATACAGTAGTGATCAACAAATTCGAAATGTGAAACTGAATTCGAGTCACTGAATCGAAGTCTCTTCGTGGTCTGATTATATTCGAAAAATCCTGTGTACTGATTGCAGTGTATATATATAAGAGAGAGAGAGAAAGAGAAATAGTATATTTGAATATACTACCTTAAAAACTAGGTGAGTTGTTTGCAAAATATTTCGAGGAAAGTGAAGAAGACGATACTTCTTCCTTATCGGTCTTTTTCGATAAATGATACGTTTATTTGCATGAAAATGTTGGTAATATTTTCTCTGGCCCCTTCTACGAAGTAGATGTGGAGTCTCATCTAAATTCTGAGTAAACAACCGCTATATATCCCCGATACTTCTTCGGGATTCCTTTGGATACGTAATTTCGCGGATCGAAGTGTGTATTTTTTATAGGGGAAATCTGTTGCGGCGGTAAAATTTTGTAAAAAGAGATTTGGTTAGAAAAAAAAAAAAAGAAAAAGTAGCGGATAATGTTGTAAGGTATATTACCAAAACGAGTAGTAAAAGGGTGGAATGGAGGTGGAATGGAAAAAAGCGAGACACTTTTATCTTTTCAGGAAAACGATATTAATGCCAACACGACATTATACAATCTCTAGTTAAAGCAGCGGTGCTGCGTGAGTGGAGAAGGATTAAAAACTCCAATAATAATAATTCACATAATGGATCTTAAATAAACGTTAATGAAATAACCAAGAAGTTCATAAACATAGTTCATTAAACGTATAACAAGAATTCGCGAGCAAAGTCAAAATAAAATTTAATTACCCTCTCTCTCTCTCTCTTCCTTCCCCCTCCTTCCCAAAAAACAAAAGACTTCGCTATCACATTTCCCCTTCCAATCGCCCATATATTCACTTTCTCCGTCGAACTAACGCAAGCGATAATTTCAATGGCGATAACTTTAATCTTTGATCTCCGCACGATTAAGAAAATGAAAATCGAACGAAATTACCCAAATATACTCGATAATCATATCTCTCCTATCTCAATCGCGATACTCGACGAAAGAATAGATTTCCCGCGTCTGCGGTGATTCCTATTCTTGATCTCCATCGAGGAAAATCGTGGAACGAATCTAATTACCCGAAGACTCGATATCAATTTCCAATTTGTTACCTCTTATCGTCAACGGAAAACGCACGTCAAAGTAACCACCTGCCGGTCACATAGCCGCACGCATGTGCAAAATTCTAAATATCCCCCCAAACCTTCGCGGCAAACACTCGTAATTACCGTTCACACGCGGTACAAAGCGCCTCAGTCGATGGTCCACAGCTTATATTCTGGCTGGTATCCTCGCAGAAGATGGGAGCAGAAGCGTTGACCCCTACTACTGGCTCAGGTGCAGCATCAGGTGCTGTTGTGGTGGGGACAGTCAGGTGCGCAGACAGGAGGAGAGGAAGGGGGGGGGGGAACGGAGACGGAGACAAGCTTACGGAGGAGGGCGGAACGAGACGCAGCTAGCGCGGCTGCAGTCTAAAATACGCTGGGCCATTAGGTGGGGGTGTGCAGGTGGAAGAGAAGGTCGGAAGGTTACGAGAGCGCAGACGCCGACTAAAAGCATCGAGGATAGTACCCGGCACCGTAGCGGAGTACCGGACAGAGCTAGCTCGTCCGTAACGCTGTGTTCGTCTTGGCAACGGGTCGGTCTTTATCCAGGGCGCACGAGCCACGTTCACCTGCTTGCCCCCCAAACCGAACCGAACCGAGCGCGCGATCATCGGCAAACGCAACAATCGTTGTTCCTGGTCGCGAGCGACCCGTCAACCGGCCGAGTCGAACCACTTTTGGAATCGCGGGTTGCCGGCTGATCAACGAGGGACCGCTTTCCCGCGCTCCCAACCCGATTCACACTTCTCACCTGTTAACCGAGCCGTCGCGCTCCTCTTCTCTCTTCGAGGTGTTCAGGTAAGTTTCGTCGTTCCACGGTGGCGGTGAAAAACTTTTGGAAAACTTTCGCCTATGATTTCTTCCGGTATGATCGTGTTAAGCTAGGTTGCCACGACACGCGGCCTGTAATGAAAGATTCGAAGATTTTTGAAAGAGAGCAAGTGAAACGAGAACTTGCTACTTGCTACATATTTCATTATTTTTAATTCGTATTTTTTTTCTTTTTATTAAAATTCGTAAATTTTAAACGCGATATTTTTTCTTAAGATTTATCGATTATCGATCGTACGTACAATGTCACGTTAGGAAAGTTTTGAAAAAGATATATAAAAGTCGGCAAATGTTCACAAGTCTCGTCACGATGTCAGAGGCAATAGTGTACGGGCCCTTTTTAGTATTCCCTCCTAGTTCTTTAATTCATTGCTCGACCGAAAGTGGTTCCAAAGTATATACCCGCATAGGGCGTCAGTGAGAACACAACGTATAGTGACCGCTGAAAACTTTCTCAAACTCCTCTGGGCAACGTGCTTAAACAACAATATTCCTTTTGTGGAATATTAACCGGTAACCATTGTCTACTTGCCCAGGAAACTTCAATGAAATCTCAAGGAAACGACTCCTATTCGAATCACTTCTCCGCAAAGGAGGTACATAGTTTCTAGTTTCTAAAATAATTAATTTCCATAATACCGTGCCTAGTTATTCGATTACTTTCGCACGAGGAGCGTTAGTTTTATACTTGATGGAGGTATATGCGTATATGCCTGATGTGGATTATTAATGGTATCGCACCCGAGATGTTTTCTCGGGTTGCACGTTACTCGCCGCACCAGCCCTCGAACGTAACTTCTCCTAATCTTCCCACGCAGACTTTCAGGCGAGCACAAATTGTATTCGAGTGTGAAATTGGCTATGCATCTGAATTTCAATTACGTTCTAACGATTTCCTTGTTTTGTCTCTCTTAAATGAGAAAGGTAAAGATCCGTTATTTCCATCGGCGGTTCGAACAATTTTCGAAACAATTTCTTCTTCGCAGGGGATTCGTTTCGAATTCCTTTTTTTACTCGCCTTTATTTTCCTGGCTGGGAAAAGAGCGCAATTGAACGACGAAGGAGAAAAGACTTTTATACGTAACGAGGGACGAAATTAATGTACGGCGAGACAGTCGGTAAACACCTTTCTGCTCCGCCTTAAAGTCTGTTTACAAGTTCCCTAGTGGGGTAGGACGAGATATGCTAATGCGGCATTATATGCTCTGTGATTATTTTAAGAATGATTCGACTTCCGTTTATCGCCCACAAGGCGATGCGAATTTTCATCTTTAATTAAACCCGTTGCACGATACCCCGCTCCGAATAAAGGAGCCGTTGATGTCGTGTTGTTACGTTAATAGCCACAATTTTCCGCATTATTACGGTTTCTGGTTCTCTCTGGGAAATTTCTCGAGGAGAATGATAACAAATCTTTAATTGTATGGCAAATAAAAGGGGTCAGGGGAATATTAATAATCGATAGATTTCAATATTGGAACATAAATTAATAACCAACTGGACTTGGTTACGATTTGATGATAAAATTTGGAATCCTTGAATCAAAATTGAATGTTTAGTTATTAAGTGTTAAAAGTATACTTTTTTTTTTTCAATCTTCTCTATTATTTTCTATTCCTTCGAGGATAAAATATATACGCGCCAGTTTTTCGATACATTTCCTCGTTTCTCTCCAGCACTACCTAAACTATTCACTTTATCAGACTATTCCGCCAGGTGTCGTAAATGGCGCAATCTACAGCGTCATTTACGAAAATCCTTTCATACTGTGTATTGTCCTCGGTAAAGTGTTCGCGAATGGATTGCGCGTGCTACTTTCAACGCTGCGTATCTCGGCCATCGTCGATTCGATTTCGTGCAGGGGATTCATCCCTACTTTCTTTTCTCGAACGAAGATACGGGAACAAGGAAACAGGGGACTTTATACAGCAAGCTCTGGATTTTCGGTCAATCGAAATCCTGACAGAAAAGATTTACACTTTCTACGTTATTTTTTCGAAAGTAATTTCCTTTCATTTTAATTCGTTTGTCGTCCATATTTGATGGATAATTATAGGAAAAAATTAGGTAACTTTGCGAGTCCATAGTTTCGTAATTTTTGTCACGAAATTTTAGTTACATTTTAGTTGATGATGTCACGTTTACGAAAGAAATGGCGATCACGAGATATTAAGGGTGAAAACGTACGAGAACCTTATGTTGCAAAAAAAACTTTGGAAAAAACACGACGTACGATGGAAACAAGTTCAAGCGATCGACTAATCTTCTGCAACTGCTCGATTAACTCACTATTTCTTATCGTCACGAATCTCCAAAAAAGCTTTATCAAGTTTTTTTCTCTCGAATACTCGGAGCGAAAGTATTTTAATTAAAAATTATATTCCAAAAATATTCGTCAATTTCAATCTGTTGTTTCCAAACGAAGAATTCCTTTGGATGCAAAATTGCAAGGCGAAGGAATATAAAGATCTGTTGTCGTTCTTTGATGGAGTGCAAACGATCGCTTTAAGATCGGCATCAATGCAAATTTACCGGATAATCTTGAATTCGCGTGTACAAAAAGGGAATTACTCGCAGAAGATATCTCGAACCGCTACGAACGAGAATGATTCTAAAATTAATAATTCAATTCAAGATTTATTCACAGCCGATCGAATACTTTGATCAAAATTAACTTTTTAAAATTATTCTATTTTCTATTATACTTTTCGTAGCATAATTCCTTTATAAATTTAAATAACGATCGATTCGTGTGAGGAAATTTTTAAATTTCCATCCAATTCAACAAAACGCACAAAATCAATTATATACATGTATAAAAAAAAATAGACCCGTGGAAAATTTCCACGATCATCGTTCCAGTGCCGCCTATCGCCGGAACAACTCGAAACAAGTTTCTCGAGGACGACGTATAAACCAGACACGAGATAACACGTTTCACGGGTTTCTTATTCTAATTATATTTATTCCATCACGCTTCGAAGCTTTCTAACGACGTTGGCAATTAAAACTTGTTTCGAAATTAAGCAATAAAAAAAAAAGAATCTTCCATTACTTTTGTATTCTGTTCGTCTCGAAACCACAACATACGTCATTGTTGTTCATTTTTCCCTCGCCACAAATTAATTGATCCTCGGTTTAACCTTCTTCGCCCACGCCACATATATTCCCACTCGTCAACTTTTCCTCTGGAAAACGCGGCTTGTTTCCACAATTGTGGATTTTATCACGACGCCTGGACTGAATAACTCTAGGCCCAGCTGGGGGCGAGATGATCTCGTGTCATTTGAGGTGCGAGAGAACGCGTTGAACATGTTTTCATCGCGATTACGATTTACCATTGTTGTACTGACGGTCGTCTTCATTTTTCCACTGTATAACTCGAAAGTTATGATGAATGGAGATGAATCGAGCAATTTAACTTGGAAACGTACACTTGTTTTAAAATGGTAAATAAATTTATTCCATGAGTATTACGAGTAAAAATTTTTAGAAACTCAGAGATCTTCTGAGTTCTTTTTTAATTGATTCTTAAGCGAAAGATGTTAAAAATCGAATATTTCTCAAAGAAATTTTCTTAATCCTTTTCTCGATAATTTTCCGCAGTATTTTTAATTAAAAACTCGTTATTTTACGTGACACTCAAAATTTAAAAAATTTCGCAAAAATGATACAATAGATAAAATTTCCTTTATCCTTGCTTCGTTCGTTCATTTTAAATGATAATAATTTTAATAATTCGTTGGTAGAAATAAATCGATTCCTTACAATTACAAATCAGAATTTGTCGGATTGAATCTATAATACGAGGCAGCAACATTACGAGATTTAACATTTCTATTCCCGATATTCAATTGTTCCCATTGTAAATATACGAACAATCGTAATACGTAATCTTTTAGGATAAGCGCATTAATTGAATCCAATGACAAATTCACGGCTTTCCGTGGGACATCTGTTGCATTCGAGGCAATATAACGATGCTCTATAACGATCGCGGTAAATTGTAACGAGGTTTAGGTCGGGATCCGTTAATGTCATTCTATTACATATCTCATCCCAGCCAATATTACACGATGATCGTTTCGGCAAATTGCATTTGCAACAAGCCGAGGCGACAAACGATAAATGTTACATACCGTTGGTCAATTCGTATTGAACGTGCAGAGCTAATGAGAGGAATCCACGTAAATGTTTCTGATTTTAATCGAAATGTTTTAATATATCTCTATACAAATTTTAAATATTAACTTTCAAGTGGTAGAAAAAAAAAAAAAGGAAATAGATTCGATTCTTAAAGATCACACAAAGCTATTTAACTTTACCTATTAACTTAAACATATATAAAATTCAAAACATATATTTCGTTTTATATATATACAATGAAAAACAAACAAATAGATAAAACGTTTTGATTTTATGGTAAAATACAAACGTTCCAATTGATCCATATCTTTGCATGCCATACCATCATTAAGATCGCTATCTCTATTAATACACCGGTGAGAAATCTTTATTTAGCAAAAGGCTATATGCTATATCTTCTCAAAGGACAAATTCGTATCATCCTACGTTCATTTTTCCACTAGGGAGTCTGATCAATTATTCATTTCGCGTTTCCTTAAAATAACACTACAGGGAAAAGAGGATTTAAATAAGATGAACAGGTGATTCACCCTCAATCTCTAAGAAGAAAAATATAAAAAGAAACTCTTTACTATCCTCTATACTCTCTCGAATATCCTTAAAAACTCTCAACGCACTTTTTGCTTTTCGAAACCTGCCATGAGACCTGTCGTGATCCGAGCTTCGTATCACGCGAGGAACAATTTTAACAATCACGATGCCAACCCGAATTCGAGTAGATAGATTTAGGATGGTATTAATTGACTCGATTGTCAGTGTGGAATAGCAAAGTCGATGAAACACAGCTGGTTGGAGACGCTGTCGTGGAGAAACAATCGTGA